TGTCGCTTTACTTAGGTTGCATGATATGAAACATCTCTGTTCTATGTAAGGTTGAAGGAGCTTAAAATAAGTAGTCCAAGAAAACTTCAACATACTCATTATGAAACTTTATCTTCAGAATTAGCATGAACCTCCTGGTCTCCATGAGCTTTTTGCCAACAATTGCCAAAAAGTACAGGTCACATTAAGTAAAATTTAAAAACAAGTTCTTCAGTTATGGGGGATGCCAGGTTGACACTATTTTTATACTCAAATCATGACCTTCTCAAAGCATAAATCTCCATCATCCCTATGCCTCAGTAAGACTATACCAATTTGATTGGGTTATCTTCAGAAATTCAAGATGCCATATCCCATGAATCTTGGGGGTGGGGGTCAGGCCAATTTTAGCCATTAACACTGTGGTTCTAAGGTATCTTCCCTCACTGCTTCACTGTAATGTGATCAAAAAGTGTTTTAATAACTGAAATATTTCTGCTGCTATATTACTTTATAGAAAAGCCTTTCTCAAAATAAATTGCTTGAAAATGAATTATAAGTCTAAATGGATACATCAGTAAAATAGTTTGCCTACCTGTAATTGTTGTTTTTTGAGTGATCATCTGTACATTTACACATATGGGTGCTACACATGCACAGTGCCTATGATCGGGAAGATTCTTCTGGCTAAATCGAGGAATTCTGGTGGGAGCCCCACCCCCTTTCCCCCTTAATATAAGAAGGCGGGCTCCCACCCTTTTCTCAGTCCACCAGGAGACCAAAGTTTGCCCTTTTCAGACCCTAACTTCCCTACTGCTAGGTAAAGGGCGGGTAAGAGAAAAGACCACCAACACCAACATGGGGCCAGCTACTGGGTTGTGTGCATGCACAGATGACCACTCAAACAACAACAGTTACAGGTAGGCAACCTCATTTTCTTCTTTGTGGTCTCTGCACATCACATATATGGGTGACTACCAAGCATACCAATGAACGTGGTGGGAGGTGTCATCACTGAAGGATGGATGATAGAATGGCACAGCAGAAGGGAACAGTCTTGTCTGGTTTTTACATCAAGCCAGTAATGGTGGACAAAAGTGGATGGCATTGACCATGTAGCTTCACTGACCAGTGCATCTAATGTTATACCTGCGTGTAGAGCCATCGATGTTGAAATAGCTCTGGTAGAATGGGCTTTGGGTCGGACTGGCAAGTCCTAGTTTGCTAGTTGGTATGCTAACTTAATTGTCTCAACAATCCAGTGTGCTAGGCATTGTGGACCAATCAGCTCACCCTTGGAGTGGTCTATACATATTTGATAAATAGCTATTTAGCCTTGCAGATAGATTCAATTTGGGATTGGTAAAATGTCAATGCTCTACGGACATCTAACCTGTGATGAGTTCTTTCGACGTTTGTAGAGGGAGTTGGATAGAACACTGGAAGCACTATTTCTTGATTTAAAAGGAAAGTAGAAGAGACCTTAGGGAGGAAGGCAGGGTCCACGTGGAGGACCATCTCATTTTTATGAAATGTCATATACGGAGGGTCTACCATAGTGTGCAAAGTTCGTTCGCTCTGTAGGCTGAAGTGATGGTGACCAGGAAAGTGAATTTCCACAAGATGAAGCAAAGCTCGATGGTTGCAAGAGGTTCAAAGGACAACTTTATAAGTGCATGCAGCACAATAGACAGACTCCAACCTGGTACGAACAATTAGACAAGAGGATTTCAGTTGTTGAGATGGAAGAAGATTGAGGAGCCCTCAATGGGATCCCGGAATGCGGAGATTGCATACAGGTGCACCTTGACCGAGCTAAATTTTAGTCCTTTTTGGTGCAGGGAATGCAGGAACTCCAGTATATAAAGTGATACTACAGCGAGTTTCATAAAGATATTAACTTTATGTTCATGATGTTAACTAAACATCATGCATCTTTCTTCATTGTCTGATGAGGTTTAAATTCCCATGCTTATCACCTAGCAATTACTAGGTGCAATTGGTTTATTTTGTTTTTCTGTAATCAGTTTAAAAAAGAACAATTCACCTGCTTTCAGCTATTGGGAAAGCTTGAAATATTTATACAGCATACCTATAACATCAACATGGCATACATTTTAACTTTTATTTCCTAAGTAAGTCAAGCATACATACTAAATCAGTTCCGAAGCAGAAAAATTTCCAGTGTAATGGTTTCCCAACAACTCAAATTACTGGCTACATGCAAAACCATATAAATCAGAAAAAAACAGGAAAGGGAATGAGTACCCTTTGTTTAGTGGAATGTTAATACACCAAGTTTGTCTGAAATCCATAGCTGCCTGCTCTGTATGTAAAGAAAAATGATAACCTGTTTGCACTTGCTCAAGCCATTTACTGCCTTCTCAGATTCTCTTTCCAAGCACACCCAAATACTATCAATATTTCTAAGAAGCCTAGTTTTTGGCTTTGGTAAGTCTCAACATCAAGAGAACTTACAGAACTAAAATAGCATTTCTGGTCTTCATCAGCAGTAGCTACCCAAGTACAGTGTATATCCTATGAAAACCAGCCTGCAGCCTGATGGGGCACAACTCCCAATTCACCAGGAGTTCTACAATACCAGTGGTATTCCTAAGAACTCTGCAGCTGCCACAATGGAATCCCCAAGTTTTCTCCCTTCCCCCACACAACCATTACAACTATTGCTGGTTGTTTGGACATTCTTTGCTACCAATCACCACCTTCCTCCAGCTCGTATTCCTTCCATTAACAGCACCTTCCTACTTCTGGAAGGATGCTTTAGGATCAGCAGTTGGAGAACAAGAACCAAGAACCCTATGTTAGTGGCTGTCAGATAATCACTGTAAAGCAAAAGTACATATGTAATAGGTCTGGCTCCAAGAACATCTTCAAGGAAACTGGTCTGACAGAGCTCTATCAGTCCTGGTTTCTAAGTGTAGCTGAGGGTTCATTTTCTGAGTGCAAAGACTGTTGTTTCTGTTGAAGTTGAAATGTACTTTTCCATTTGAACATAAAGCATCAACTGGGTGTGAAAAGGAAAATTAACTAAGATAATTAAATGGGAACAGAAAGGAATTCAATTGATCAAAAGCTAGTGTGATAATCAGTACATGATATGAGCTGTTAATGAAGGGATGTAAATGGGAACAAAAGGGAAATTAATTAATCAATACAGCAGCATGGTGGAAGTTTAAAGCTGGCCAGGTTGTGGGGAGGGGGGGATAAGCACATGGCAAGCAATTAATGAACTGAATTAAATGGGGTAATTCTGTACATTTCAGGGAAGCATCACAGTGAGGCATAATGCGGAACGCTGTACTTTGCTGTATATTGTTTATTCAGCAATGCTATATATTGCTTATAGAGCAATAAACATGGGCTTATTTGGCTATGGATGCACTTTTGAGTATGGACATGACCATTTTCTCATGCAGCTTCCAAGAGGTCACTCAACATCTATTATTACCCCTGATCTGAAAAAGATTGTGCACCCCTGCTGTAGCCAGTAATATTCACCCTAAAATACAAGTGACACAAATATGGGCCATGAAAAGAAGCCTATGTAACCCTCCCCAACCTCCCGCAGTAACAACCAAAGCAATAGAAGCAACCATTCAGAAAGAAGGAACCAAGAAGATCCCCTACGGGTGGTGACCTGCAACACCTCTGCAGTGTTTGTTAATCTTCCTGAGCGTCAATATGGCCTTCACAAGCAGCTAGTAGCCTTCTTAGAAGAAAAGGTGAGAACACTAAAGCAGAAACTGTCCACCCTTAAGGTGACATAGATGATTTCAGAAGTGCAACAGCAAACTGAGGCAGAGGCAGAGTGTCCTGAAAGAAGGGAAAATGAGGAGCAAAATCCTCATTGCTAGGAAAAAAAAGCAGCCACTTTAGGTATCTGCTTTGAGGATTACCAGTACAGTATTCATCTAAGATGGAAAGCACTAAAAATCTTTTCTATAATTTGGGAATATACTATGAACTAAAAGGTACTGCAAAGTCAAACACCTTCTGACAATAAGACCTATAAAACATTGCTGGTTATTTACTCTGCTGTGTATTTGTAGACCAAAGTATTGTATATATGAAAATTAATGATTACACTCAACTTCACGTGCTTGTCTTAAGCACCATATGTGCAATTGGTCTACAAATACCAAATACAATTGGTATGGGCACAACTACATACCACTGACAACTTGCACTTAAAACCATGAGGCTGTATTTTAGAGATGTAGGTAGAATACCAGTAAATATGGCAAAGCCAAACTAACACTGGGCTAGTTTGCATGGTTGAACAGCTCACCATGGCTTATTTTAGTGGACTGGGGTGCATATCAGAATACAGTCTGAATAGTGAATGACTGGCCACAGCCTATTGTGTCATGAGAACCCATGGCCTGTTTAGGGCTACTGAGAGAGTTATTTAACCCTTGCAAAGCCCCCAGAAACTAGGTTCACACAGCATGACATACCGTAGCAATGCATGGATGTTCAAATTCCACCTGGTTTGTGTGAATATGTGCCACAGTACACAGGGGCTTAATCAAAGTAGGCTATTCTGATAGCATGAACTGTGTCACTGTTTATACCTACATACAGAACAAGTTAACTATCAGCCAATGATGACTGGACATTGGATGTTTCAACATAGGAAACAAATCAGTGAAAGATACAGGCTGAAAAAAAAAACACAATACCCAATGAATTGGTTTTTATAAGCAATGGACCATATCTTCCCATATATATGATAAAGTTATTTTTCCACTGTTTATTCTGAAAATGCTGTAACAAATATATAGCAGCTTTATATAAAATAATAAGAGGTGTGTTAAATATACATTTAGTGAAGGCAAATATTTGGCTTTGTATTCACTGAAGTTGCTCTAGCCCTCATAAATACTGTTATTTTTCTAAAACTAGTGTGTCTTTTGTCACATTGTTCTGTATAAACTTAGATTAAATATTCTTTCCATAGATTTCCTTTTATTTAACTGCTCTTTCTACACAATTCTTACCTGGAGATAAGTTATTCTCCTCTGTACCAGCTCTGTCAAATCTTTGGCCTCTTTTTCTCGCCAATCACCTGCTCCATCTGTTTGACTGAGGTAGTACAGATCTGTCATTATTGACCTGTTTAAAAAAAAACAAACACCTTTTGTGGCTAATTTTACTAATCAGAAAGTTCAGTGAATAGAGAAATCAAATCTTCAGAAGTGTGGAACGTATCTGAATAGGAAAATATTATTTTTCCACTTTATTGCTAGAGCTACCTAGGTTTGCATGCACATACATGCACATATACATTCAAGCTACCACCCACACATTCAGCAGTCTCAAACCCCCAGTCACATTCCAATAACCCTATAGCTGTGGCACTGGAAAACCAAACCTACCATCTCCCACTCATTCCCAATGGAGCAGCAAGGGCTGTGCCTCAGGGCTGTGCCAAAGCTCAGGTTCCTAAATGGCTAGAGGTAGGTGATAAGGGCAGAAGAAGCAAGGTTCATCATAATTCTGGTTATGCAACCTTTGTTCCATGAGTGTTTGCAGACTTCCTCTCAGTTTATCTTGTTCTCTAAGACAGGGCCAAGCATGTGAGGAAGTCTGCAAACAACAGAGGGACAGAATCTATGGAGCTTTGCTGCAACCCTAGTTATGACTATACCTACACCATAGGGGCACAGCTAGTGAGTTTCTGTTAGATAAAGATTATTGAAGTGGCAGAAGTTAAAAGGGTTTTATGGCTGTGGTCTAACAGAAAAGTTTATTTTTTAAAACTGTAACAGTTCTATAGATCCAAGCTTCCAAATTATTTTTTAAGAAACAAACATAGCTAGGATAACCTACATTGCATTCCACTGAATCTGGTGACAGTGGTAACATAACCTACAGTGGATTTTTTTCACATGCTTTAGATTAGAACTACTTTTAATTGACTGGTATAGCATGTAACCAGAAGAAACCCTGAAACACAGGAAGGTATAGAACAAAGTCCAAACATTTTTTTCTTCTAAATAATGATACGGTGACTCTACTCACATGTTGGGAAACTGAACATAACTTGGAGCATTATTCTGGGCCTTCACATCTCTACCCACACATGTAAGACCATTAAATCCAGAGGTAGAATCCAGTGCTGCCCACCTGCTAGTGGAGGTGGTTGCCAATTCTGGTCTGCATGTGACTGGCCCTTCCAATTCCATTCCATAAGTGGGCCCTATCACTTATGTAATAATGATTTAAGTGCATCTGGTGGCAAGCCTTGAAAAAGCGGGAATGTTCATTTCTGTTAAGATGGAAAAATCAGCAGAGCCTCCATGTGCAAACAAACCCACTTTCAAAATGAATGATTTATTTTACCCGAAAGTGCCTAAATGGTCATTCCACAATCATTAGGGGAGACTTACGGAACACAACTGGTAGGACAAGGCAGACACAAACCAGAATCAGTGCCCAGCTCTGGCACTGGATGGGCAGCACTGAATTCTGCCCCTGGATATACAATTATTTAGCTATGCCTCTGCACTCTTGCTCTCTCTTACACACATGCATGCACTCGGATTTTTCTTCCTTCAAGTGAGAGAAACAGTATTCATAACACAACAGGCAAAGTTCTGTAACATTCAGTAATGAAATGACTAATTGCTGTGATACATTAGAAAAGATGTATACATATTAAAACAGTTTTGCTATACAGTCCCTGCTGGTCAACCAATTTTAAAATCTCTTCAGTTTTCTGACTCCAGGCAGAGACATAAGATAAAAGCAGGTACTCTGATCAGATCATAATATCAAAGAGAGGAACTGGCAAACAAAATGAATGGCTTCCCCTGCTTTCCACCTATTAAAGCAGGTTGCTTACCTGTAACTGATGCTCTTCGAGTGGCCATCTGTGCATTCACACATATGGGTTGCTGCGCCTGCGCAGTGCCTAGGCCGGAAGATTAGAAAGCTAACGGTTTTTGGTGGGAAAACTCCGCTCCCCTCCCCCTTTGTGGTATAAATAGAGCGGAGTGTCCACCATTTTGCTCAGTCTTGAAGACCGCACGTTCGCCCTCTAGAGGTTAAAAATAAAGTAATGATAAGACACCATTATATTCCCATGGTACCGATGTGAATTAAAGTA